CATATCGAATCGTCTCGTTGTAGTCCCAACCTTATTCATCATCACAAAACTCCCCTCCCTCTCTTTAGACTACAACTCTGCAATGTTTCGTATTTTTTGGATTTTTTTTAAAAAATTCTTTTATTTTTATTATTTTTGACGCTTCTCGATTTAATTACGTCATGTGGGTCCCAGTATTTTACTTCTTATTGTTCCATTTATCTATTTGGTTCCTTGAGGATTTCATCTATGTGGTGATTTTATTTATATATGTGGTATTAGTGTAGTTGAGTGGGAGAAGATATTATGTGGCATGAGTCTAGATAGTGTTATAAAGGAATGTTATTTTAGTGATTTGTGGAGTCAAAGTGGAAAACTCATTCTTGACCACTTATTTGAGAGGACCAAAGACCATTGGCTTCATTTTAGTCCACTCATCTCATCCCTTCCCCCCCCCCCCCCCCCCCTTTCTCTAACTACACTTCTCTTTCTCTCTATATTCTTCCTCACTTCTCTCTTGAATTTCTCCAAGTTGGAGGAAGATTAGGTTCATGCCATTATTAGCAAAGTTGCAGATCATTGTAAGGGGTTCAATTTTGTACCAGTCTTACAAGCTTTTGGTATGATTCTGGTTTGGAGCTTGGATTGCTATCTTGAGGTAAGGGAAGTCTAAACTACAAGTCCTATGATTTTAGTTAGTTTCTATGTATCTTCTTACATGGAATTTTAATAATGTGTAGCATGTTTAGTTTCGTAAAGTATTGGGTTACATTATCTTATTGATCTACTTAATTTGTAATGTAGATAAGATGGTTTATGCTATTTGTACAAAGCATGAGATTATTATATGATGAAATGTTAATATATGACTTGTATGGTTAAATTCAAGTTCAATATGTTGTGATGTGATGATTATGATGCATGTATATCATGGATTATATGTGATGAATGGTTTTATGATATGTATATTCTTGGCATAGGGATGGGTTTGAGATCAAGTTTGAAGGTATGATGTGGAAATAAAGGTTGAGAAACGAGTTGAAAGATGTGGTGAAAGTGAGATGATGGTTGTGAACGTTTGGTGAGATTTGAAAAGGAAATGAAGAAGAGGGCTTTGCATTTCATGTGTGTTGAAATGGTTATAAATTCATGAAATTTATGTATGATATTATGGTTGATATTCCCATGATCCCTTCTTTTTGTTCTCCTTTTCTTTGGGTGTGGCTCACAAGATTTTTAAGAATGTATTTTAGGCTTACTTTACTGAGTTGTTGAGCTCACCCTATTATTATTAACATTTTCAGGGTTTGAAGATGATATAGCGACGGTTGTGCATTCCCGGACATAGATATTGATAGGATTATCATTTTCGTTAAAGTTATTTAATCATGGCCACAACGACCTTATTTGTTGTATTTGATTCTTTAGATATTGTATTAAAAAGATTTGTATAATTTGATTTTCAAATGATGTTTAATCGGAATGATTAGTGGATGTTTATATGTTAATCTTGCATATTTTGATGCTTATGTACTTATAATTTTCATGATCTATGAGTTTGGGATGCATATGCATGGGTTGGGAAGTAATCTATTCGATCACATTGATTTTGGGCATGATCTAAACGATTAGATGGGGTCATCTTAACGTTTAGATAAGATCTGGGAGTCATATGCGCATACAAATGGTCTTTCAACTTTACAACCTCACTGGAATAATCATCTTATCGATAGGATGAGACCAAGTGTACGCACATATGGTCATCTGTGTGTATGGATAAACCAAGTGTGCGCACAAATGATCCAGTATTCACTGTTTAACCCCAAACTTTGGTATAATTACATAACTACCCCCATACTTCAACTAAAGCATATAATGGGCATAGAAAATACCTGAAGGGTTCAGAAGTTAAAATAAGTGTATTAAATGACTATTTTACCCTTTTGGGTCCCAAAGCATTAATTGATCACAATAAAGGACTGTTTCGCTTTTATGGGCTCTAGACCTACTGTAATGACGTGAAATGACCATGTTGCCCCCGAATTTTATTTTAATCATTGGACACCTTAGTAAATGACCATTTTACCCTTGATGGGCTTTAAAGTACTAATGTAAAGAGAAATGACCATAGTACCCTTGTGTGTCCTTAGGAGAGGACCCGATTAGTGATCTGGATCCCCGGATTTGGGACGTTACAAACTCACTATCTCAACTGCAATCATCGAATATATATACATATAAAACGACCACGAACGAACAAGAAAATGAACACAAACTCACCAATCTCTCGACCCAACTCACAGCCTCTCTGATTCACCTCCCAACTCTGTCTAGAACTCCTCCATTCCGTCTCCCATACCCTCTTCAATGCGTTCTCTCTTAGAAGCTTGTCACAATCCCACAATTTTAGACGACATCTCAAGACCCAGAACGACATTGATTCGGTCTCCGCGAAGTCGGATCGTCATATCAAGGACGTCGACATTTTGATCAAGAGCGTGGTCGACCTCCACAACGACGCCATTCTAAGTTCTTCATCATCGAAGAAGGAGTCTGTACGAGCCAAGGCTCGAAATTTGATAACTCGGTTACAGATTTGGACGACTAAATCGAATAACTCGGTAGATTGGGACGACAAGAATGTATTGATTATGGTACTACATACACAAGATCATTCCGGTGCTCATGCAACTACTGGATTCGAACTCGTCATTGGAGATCAAAGAGAAGACTTTCATGGCCGTTGATAGTCTCATGGATTCGAACAAACACTTCTTTTGCTGAAGGACTACTGCTTCTGAATCATCTGTTATGGTAGTGTATGGTTTGGCCATGACTTTTTTTCTGATGGTTGTGGTGGTGGTTGTTATGGCCGGTGTCTGGATGTGTTGGTGGTAATGGTTGAGATAGGGGATTACAAAGAGAGATCTGGAGGTGATTGAGGTGAGAGAGTATGTGGTTGGTTTACGTGTCCCCATACAAGGCTTAATGGTGTAGGGTATTTCACAATTAATGGGGCTAATAATTTTTGAGTTAACCAAATTAAATAATCAAGGACAAATATAATATTTGAAACCTGGGTGTCAAAGTTCAAAAAAACGTTAACAAACATTTGAATAGAATTGACCAAAATATCAGAAGATATCAGTACAATTTACCCTATATTTTATCTTCACCAAAATTTGAGTATTCAACACCTCCTTTAAAATACAGTACCTATACCATCACCACTAGACTAGAGCCCGTGGCTTGAGACAAGATTCTTTAACATACTTTGGCCAACGTTGCATTTAAAAGGCAATACCGACACGAATTCCCTAAAGTTTTCTTAATTATTTGACCTCAAATATTCCTTAAAAGAAAGTCAATACAAAATCCCAATAAAACTTAGCAGAATCAAGTGAGAATTAATCCTCATTTGTTTAGTCAAAATGCATGTACAATCACAAATCATTAATTAAAAGAAGAAAGAAGACACAATTAATTATTTCAACTAAAATCAAAGGAACAATAAAAAAAGAAAAGGATTCTTATACGGAAAGGATATAGGTGTCAGCCAACAAAGCCTCACAATTGGAATCCTAGATTTGCATAACAAATCAAGAGTATCTTTCATGGGGGTCTATAAAGTAGTCTAGTAGAGTAGTAGTGGCCTAGTGGGGGTGGGTTTAATATAGCAAAACCAATTAATAATATGAGCATGATATATATGCTAGCAGCAATATTGGAACACTAAGAGAATTGGGCTCCATAAATGTACATCATTTTCGTCGACTTTTATTAATCAATTCATTGACTTCAATCCTTTTAAATATACTTAACTCTGTAGGGCATACTAAGCATCATGTTTAATAATTCATCATTTATCTTCTAATCTTCAAATAATCAAATAGTACATATGTATGTCTATATATATATATATATATATTCCATCTGTATGCAAAGAGTGAAGTCCACTACAAAACGTGCAATTATTTTACGCATCTTTGTGATGCTATGCATTAATTATCAATATCTTGCTATGACAACTTATCCCAATAAAATAGAATGCTCTGGCACTCCTCACTCCATAAAAGCAAAATCGATCATGTTGGCACAATAATTGTTTACTAGACGATAAATATTAAGCAAAGTACTACTCTTTCATTTCAGATTTGATTGCCACTATGTTTTTCAAGCCAGTTAGAAGGGAGAGGCAATATAAGAACACTAAAACGATCCAATCCCAACTTTCACAAGTGGTTGCTAGTTTCTTCGTATATATTAAATTAAAGTTGCACTAGCTCAGTCTAGGTTTTAAAGATATAAGAAAGCACAATTCTCTTGATAATGATAATTAAGTTTCATGCAAACACATTTGACTATATTCATATGACTTGAAAAATAATATATAACCTGCACACATTTAAAAAAAAAAAAAAAAAAAAGGAGGAAGGTTAGATGGATGTGTCCGACCTCTTCAACTACTTATCAATGCTAGTCTCGATCCCTGCAGAGGATTTTGGAAAGACTCAACTTCACCACCAAACTATATATTAGTTGTGACGTTGTACTCAATGGTAGGACTAGCTAATAGTCGGCAAGAAGAGTGAAAGTAGATGTAATCTAGTATCCAAGAAAGAGGCTAAACGTTTAGATTTAGCAGTGAGCAAGAAAGCGACTTCACTGCCATTATTTTATTTAGAAACCTAAATGTGGAGTATATCCACCTTAAATGGTATGGGTCCCGTAGTGAGAGCACTTCATTCATCCCTACCATTCAGCAACATATTAGGTGACTTTTTATTATTATTTTTTTCCCAACAAAGAATCAAATCCATCAAGTCATTGAATTTTCGGGTAATAGTCTAATTAGTAGAGCACTCAAGTATCCGAATAGGTGTGTCCGTATTTAAATTCCTATCCCTAATTTGTCGGAACAAAAAAAAATTTTAAAAAAGAAAGAGTCATTTTCTCACATGATAATGCTTGGCTTGCAAAGACATCTTCTCCTGACCTTTCAAAATTTGCAAGTCCAAAGATAAAAGGGGCAACAAAGACTGATAGGTCTTCACTTCATCTAATTATTACACCAAGTAAATTAACCTTTCTACATGAATTATGTATTTAATGAACTATTACATGAGTTGCTATCTACTTGCAATCTTATTGCCTCGAAAGGTAAGAAAATATATATGAAAAAAAAAACACACACACACACACATTTATATATATTCATTCATTTCAAACCATTTTCTTCTCCACAATGCCCATTTATTTCCCCCTTCTCTTCATTAATAGTAAAATCTTTCATGTAATACTCAAATTTATTGACCATGCTCTCCGGCACCGACACGAGCACTCTAACAGCGTCAATATCGCCTATGACCGGCAAAAATAAGCAGTAAATGTCACTGGTTAGAGGACCCATATGCAGAGGCTTCCCTTCACCAAAGTCCAAATCCTCTAACCCTAATTTAGACCACTGTGATATAACTAAACTCGCTGAAAGGTCTGGTTTTACTGTTTTATCCTCCAACAAATCTACAATGGACTTTACATAATCATCACTTAGTGATGATTTAGCATGTTGCACCAACTTGACCCCCTTGTGCAAATTAGCAGTGACCACTTCATTAACCGTGGCCTCCGCGCATCCTAGCACGAACCCATTCCCATAATACCCTTGTGGTATTTGTGGCTCGAGTCTTTGCCTAACGTTAACAGAGAAGAGGAGCTTCACATTGAGAGAGGGGGACAAGTCTAGGGATTTAACCCAGGAGCGCCACGTGTGAGATGCTAGAACGTCAAAGGTGGTGCATTTTAGCGAGGGTACGCACTGCCTCTTGAGGTGAAGGATATTAGAGTGGGTGAAGGTTAAGGATGCTGGTACGAGGGTCTGAGATTGTAAAAATTCATTGAGGTCCAATCTTAGACCATCTGTAGGGGTAGTTTTGTAAAATTCGGGATGGGGGAAGATTATTTGTGGGGGATTTGGCAGTTTCAACACGTGGCGATCGTGGAAGGGAGTGACTTGTAAATCGGCAGTGGGTTTGGTGGTGAGGTGGGCCCAAGCGTGAAGAAATTGCGATGTGCCAATGCCGTCGCATAGACAGTGATTGATTGCAGTGCAGAGGATCATTCCTCCACAACGGAGATTCGTGATCTGCGAACACAAAAAGCAAAAACGGAGAAATCAAAATCAAGGGTATTTTAGTAATTTGAGAAAAGAATAACAAAGATCCCCATAGTCCATTTGGGGTTTAGTTGTGAAAGGAACCAAAGAGGGATATGGGCATATAACCCCAGAAAGTGTTGGGTCACCCACTTTTGCTGGTTCGTTAATTCTTTGTTCACTTAATCCACTGTGGGTAAGTAATATGTTTATATATTTTTAAAATAACTATTTAAGTGTTTAATATTTTTTCTATTTCAAAATAAATGTTCTGTTTTAAAAAATAAGACTCACTGTTGGTAAAATAAGATATTTATTTTGAGGCATATGAAGTAGTAAATGAGCTTAGAGTAAAATTTAAAGGAAATATGAGAGATTTGATTAGATAGGATTATTGTAGAGGTTATAATGCAACTGAAAAGACAAAACTAACCTCAACTATTTAAGAAGACAATATGGCCATGGGGCAGCTGACAGGTAGGGCATACCATACATGTTTTTTTTGGTTGTATCAATCCAATAACATTTGCTATGTTTGAGAATGCGAAAGAATTTAATTTAAACCTTGAATTAAATTTTCACTAATTTTAAAGTCAATTGAAGCATACTTCAGTGATAAATTTGTCAAGTAAAATTTAATTTTTCTTGAAAAAAAAAAAAACCCTTAAATTAGCCAATGATATTTACCCAAGTGTGAATTTAAAAGAGAATGTAACCAAAATTATCATAAGCACGAGCAAGCAAGTAAATCTGAAACCAAACCTGAACTACAAGAGGAGGAATATCCAAGAAGCTGTGAGCTTCAATTGGCCTATACAAGAGCTTCCTCCAAGACCTGTTTGGCTTTCTGGAAAGCTCAAGAAACTCATCGGCAGTAAAATCCATGAAAGCTTCAGCGAACACAGCACCTTCTCCATTACAATCAACCTCAAGCTTCTGATCATTTTCCGGGCTTGTTCTCAACCTCCCAGCTAATGGGTAGTAATCAACAAGAACTTTGGAAAGTGAGCATTTTAAGGCATCAGAGCTTATAGACTTTTTGAAAAGATAGAGATATTTAATGGTGAATCTGAGGAACTTTTGATCATCCAGGTTGGAGAGATAGAGAGAATGCTTTGGGGTTGGGCCTTTTGGGCAGATTAAGATGGGGTGGTTTAGATAGAAACAATCTGGGAGTTCTTGAGTTGTCAACATATTTTCGTGTTATGCTATTGTTGATTTGTGGTAGTGTTGTTTGATGCAGCTGTGTGTGTGTGTGTTTGTGTGTGTGTGGATGGAGGGAGAGGGAGAGGGAGAGGGAGAGGAGTTGATTGAAAGACAAGGTAAGAGGAAAGCTTTGTAGGCAGACGAACAATGCGTCCAGTTGGAGATCTACTGTTGGATATTGTGATGTACGATCAGATTCCTCCCAAGAGAGAGAGGCTATTAAGAGGACAGCCTCATCATACTTCCCATGGACTTTCCATGGAAAATTAATAATAGAGCAATGAGAATTTGAAGACTTGGGGCTTAAAAAAAAGTGAAAAAATGCATTTTGAAGATGCAATTTTAATAACAAATATGCATGTGATGCGAGCCATCAAATCATGAAGGGATAAATACTCTCTCTAGTACCCCAGTACAAATGAACAACACAAACATTATTTTAATAATTTTATTTTATATTATATTATTTTATCCCAAAGATGTAAATATAAATGAGAAAAAATTATTAAGTACAAATAATTCATTTAAATCATTTTCTATTTTGATAATAAAGAGGTAAAAAAAAATGAAAAAAATGAATTAAATGAATTAAACTCATTTTGCATGAGATTGGTAGTTACCCATATTTTTCTGTCCATTTTACTCCAACCCAGCTAATAAAATTTATAATTTTAGTAGTTGGTAATTAAATAGCTTAATTTTGCATGAGATTGGTAGTTACCCATATTTTTCTGTCCATTTTACTCCAACCCTGCTAATAAAATTTATAATTTTAGTAGTTGGTAATTAAATAGCTTAATTTTATCATTCTAATTATCGAAAAATTCTCATATTTTCTGTCAAGTCGATACTCATTTTTAAATTATAATACAACTCAAATCCCTAACCAATTTGATTTTATATTAGTATTACACTAATACCCTATACCAAATTAAATTACACTCCCACTAATTAGAATAAGTTAGAGAATCCCATTGATTTGTGAGAAAATTGCTAGACTTAATTGATTAATTGATGTGGAGCAAATGAAATTCCACTACCATTTATAAGCCAAGAACCTTAGCGTGAATGGTTATCATATGTACAAAGTGTCATCAATCTCGGAGTATTGAATGGTGTTTTAGAACAATACTAAACAAATATTTAAAACATTTATACAATGGCTCAGAATTCTCAAATGAAATTTTGGAACACTCCCGGATAATATCTAAGACATGTATATCATGTTAGAGTAATTTAGAAATTTATGTACATGTTTTTATACAATTCTGCACATCGTATATGGTACGTCTGCGTGGTGTTTACTTGGCCTAACTTTTCATAGCAGAGCGTGATATATTATCCCTCACCCTTAATGAATCATGCGTAGCCAATTTCCTCTCTATTTTCATAATTTGCTGACAACCTTACTGTGGCATGTAAGGAATCATTCAGAACGACAATCGAATTTTTAAGAACATGCATGTCACTCCCTGAAAACAACTTTCTCAAAAATTTTCAACTTTTGTCACATAAAAACAATTAAGAAAATCCCCTGGCCATTGTAGACATAATCTTTAGTGACTCAGACTTGAATGTGCCTATGGGTGCATCTTCTTGGTGCAAGTTTGATTTTATTTTTTGAGGTTGGCGTTGTAGAAAAAGACGATTCCACTGTAGTCCATACCAAAGATATTTGCTCAATTTCGACATGTTTGACCATTTTGTAAAGCAATTTATTTATAGTCTTATTGGCCAAAAAGTTGATTCTTAATTTGCTTTCTTCTCTAATTTTCGGCACGTAAACATAAATTTTACACCATTCTTTTCTTACCTCTATCATGTTCCTTTTCTTTCATGCATGTTATTGTTAGTTGATTAAACCATCCTCAGGCTAATATATATACATATTTAATATCGTTTTCCTATTCTTCTTTAATATTTGTAATTGTATGGACTAAAAACATCCAAATAAGATCATGAAACCAATACTGAACTGATTTAGATTTGAATGGTTTCCAATGATCCCTCAAATTATTGGATCCGACCTGGTTAGGATCATCCCGGATCCAATCGAAATCCATGGGCAGGACTGTACTGTCAGGAGGTTTTTTGGTAGGTCATTGTCAGGAGTTTCTTGTTTGGAGGGTAGGGAACTACATTATAAGGTGCCAGAGTGGTACTATGATGGATAGCACATGCATTCCTGATGACATGGACCTTACATAATTAATTTGATTAAATTCTTCTAAAAAGAACTCACATTAATAAATTATACCTGTTCGAAATTTCGAATCTATACATTTTGGTTTAATTTTTCAAAAACAGTTATTCAAAATTTTTAAAAGTGGAAAACTGTTTTAAAGAATTACAAAACTCAAGCAAAGGACTGTAATTCTAGTGTTTCTTTTTCCTCTTCCAAAATGAAATTTGGATATGTGAAATTTTTAACAGGTGAATATATACATATATATATATATGTGTGTGTATGTGTGTGTGATAATAGTCAGATAGCTCTACGACCATGGAAGAATTTATCATAAAATACTAGCAGATGGTTACAGCTGGCCGATAAGAGAACCACACACATAAAAACACAGTAACACACTAGGGTTGTCACTGAGAGAACCACACACATTAATAAAACACAGTAATACACCATCAAAGGGTTGTCACTTATTTTATGGACCTGACCTTGTTGAAGAAAATTCATCAGAAGATTCCAAACCAACCCACAGAGGCATCTTTGTGTAGAAGATAAAAAATACATTGAACCATTTGATTTGACGTTTCTGTACTCGGTGAGTCGGTGCAATGGATTTGTACAGTCCTTATAGTTTTATATGGTGGATTTTAGAATCCATATATGCTTAAAATTTTAGACGATGGCTCTTCACTTTGCTTTAAACTTTCCAATCATAGCGATTCCATCGTAAACCATACCCAAAGAAAAAAAAAAAAAAAAGGGAATCTTATTGCACACTCTGAATTTTCAAACATATGATATATATATATATATATATATATATATATATATATATATGTCATTTCAACTGTATATATTCTTCTTCTATATATACAATTAGCCTCAATCTTCTTTTACTTTATTCACTAATTTCTTGGTTATATAGTATATAAAAGTTGAACATGCTTAATTTATCCATGATATAAATCAACCGACCTAAGATTTAATATATTGCAAAGATGAAGCATAGTTCTTGGTGTCGAATGCGTGATCTGTTTGACAGCAAAAGCAAAGAACTAGAATCAAGTTCCAAAAGTGACATAAATGTAATGGGAAAGAAATTCTAAGGCTTGAAGAATAAAGTTGAGACTTTCCATGGTTCTTGTTACGGTTTAAGAAATGTGGAATATCATGTAATTTACTAGCGTTCGTTTTAGAATCTATGAATTTAGCCTTTTTGGAATCTACTAATTTCTTAAGGTCAACCTATTCTCTAATCTAGTTTTAGAAAAAATGTCAAATGAATTGGAGGATCAAACTATCTCTTCATAACAAGATGTTTTAGATTAGTTGGAGATAAAAAAAGAATCGATCCGTTTGCTGCCATGCTCAAATAATTTTACATTCATATATCCCTAATACTCTGGTATATACCATCATTATTTAAATTTATGCAATATTATCTAATAGTTTAAATTTTTAGATCAAATGGCAATTGCTTAGCCTTTTACAGTGGCACGGTGTCACGGAACAATTTAAATTTTGTGAATTTGGGTGGAAAAGAATGAAAATGTTGTGAATTTGGATGGAAAAAAAATATTATGAGGAACTTGAACATGTACTCCTTCATTATTTAATCCAAATTAACCAACATGGCAGCGTTTTTGATTTCAAGCACAACTTATATATATATATATATATATATATACATACATATACATATATATATATCAATAATCAGATTTTCCATCTATCATTGCCAAAGAAAAACCACCCTAATATATTTGAAAGGAAAGAGCAAATTTATGTAATTTGACAGATTGAATAGGGATCTAATTTGAGTGCTTGGCCAAAGAGTGTCACGCCGATGAAGGGAAATATCTCTATACCTAGAAACAGGTCAGATTTCAGAAAAAATTCCAGCAACCCCTGTTCTCGCTCAATCGGTGCCGAATTTCTTGGATGTACAATAGAAAGTCAACGAGTGTCTCGCCGTCGATATGAACACCTCCGTTAAACTCGAAGAACACAAAACCATATGGGATTGGAACGAAATCTGGAGGGAGTAGATCGACGAATTCGGGGGAGAAGAGGTGTGGGGTTGTCAACCGTGGCGGTGAATGCAATCAATGGGAGAAAGCAAGGGAGGGGCATAACAAAGATCTAAAGAGGCTAAGAATATATACATTGCATAAAGTCATCCATAGAAGATGCCCAATCACTAAGTACATATGCTACCATTAGCAGGCTATACACAAAATATCTAGATACAGTACCCAGTCCTAAAGAACACATAGCAGAGAGTATGTTGTCATCTTCACTCTAGCACAGCAACCACAACCTTAACATGGTTTCATAAGGCATCAAACATGAACAAAATAGTACTTCAGGTTAATATTTTACACAAAAACACCAAGCACAAGATGCTCCACAAAAGGATCCCATCTATGGGAACTCAAGCTCAGGTCTAGCATTGCCGTCCTGAGCACCAAGACCTGAAAAATAAAAAGGGTGAGACAATGCCCAGTAGGAAAGCCTTTAACAAATGCCTCCATGAGGTTTTAGGTACATGATCTGATTTACATGAGAATTCGTTGGCCAAGTTTCTACCAAGACCAATTATAAAATGATGGAATTTGAAAAAAAAAACAATAGCTAAAAAAAAATCATAATTCCAAAGCTATTTGAGAGTTAAAGTGAGTTAGTAAAGAGCTAGTCTTCATTTGGGCCTTTTGTCAAACAACTTTACTTCAATTATAGTGATCCCAACTATCTCTCCCCCTTTGACTAGTAGGGATTCAACTCCGAATACCCATCTAGGGTCTACCGCTGTGGGTTTATGGTCTTTCACCAACGGGTAGCTCATACCCAATTGCTCACCCCTTTCGCCCGGGACATAACCCTCCTAGTCCCAAAGCTAAGTAATAGAATAATTCAACCCAAACAATTTAAGACAACTCAATTACAACATTCCAGAATCTAAGCAGA